TATATAAAATATGTATATGTATATAGAGAGACTCCGGCCTCTGTGGTTTAAAGAGATTTTAAAGTGATTTTTATTGGTTTATAAAATGATCTCGATGTTTGTTTCTGTATGAACCCTCGGGTCACGTGGGGGGGGGGACGTACCTTCCCCTGAGCCACCAGCTCCCTCTGTGCAGCTGAAGCAGCTTTGACCAGAGCGCTGGTGGCCGCTGCGATGGACTTGGCCGCCTCCAGAATCTGCTCCTCAAAGTTCAAGCTCTCATCTGCTTCCTGTTTTCAAGAGAGGGAATACGGCCGTCAGTAAACACATGGTGATCCGACCCTGACGACGCGTGTGCTTTACGTTCAGACAAAAGTTTTAAAGAGTGATGGGGAACAGCTCCAGAGTAACTGTGCAGAGGAGGAATATTGAAATGTTAACAGGGTGACGTTTGAGACGGACATCACTAATGGTACGAGGAGCTGACAGACGAGTAGACGGGCAGCACACACTCGGAGCGTGACCCTGCGCTGAGGTTAACAGGCGAGAAGCCGCCGCTCTGTAAAAAAACCTCTAACCTTGGGTTTGGTCCTGGGCCTCAGCTGCTCCAGTTTCTTGGCAGCTGCTTCAATTGCGGCCGCTGCTCCGAGCAGCTCGTTCTCTGCGATGACGGTGGGATCCTCAGGGTCCACCCACTCTGTGCCTGCAACACACGACTACAGTCAGCCTCCGCTGTCGGAAAACACCCAACACCTCCCCACCGCACACCACCAGGATTTCTATTCCCTGAACAACCTGTTCCAATGTATTTTACTTTAATGTCACAGTCTTCATCGTTTTGATAAAATTCTAGAAACATTCAATCAGGATTATATTTCCTGTTACACAGACATTCGTGTTCTCACATACAGAACCTCCAGCACATGTCAGGAACATGTCAGGAACACGTCAGGAACATGTTTAGGTCTGACAACAGCTTGAGTAGATGGGACATGAGCCAAACTAAATAAATTAAAAGTAGACGAGAAGTAAATGTTTGTCAAAGATGTTTCTGTCGTTTCAGTTCTTATCTCCCTGACGTTTGTTTCTGGTCAGTTTGGTTTGATTAGTTATTTCACACGAACCGGCTGAGACGTCATGAGTTTTACAGATTTACGACTTCAGCTCCTCACAACGTACGAGGCAGTTTGAAGGATTCATCTTTGTTATGTGAATGTGATGCTGGATTTGAAATGGACGAAATCCAGTTGAACCCAAAGCCTCAACATCAATCACAGCTTCGTCTTCTCTCGACAGCCGCTGAGGTCGTTCCATTCCCATCCTGCAGCAGGATTCAGTTGCAGCTAATGTCTCAGAAACTGAAGCAGGCGTGTGTGTGTGTGTTAATCTGTCATATAAAGCTCTGAGGTCGACTTTCCCTCCACTTGACGGATGAAGGCGGCTCTGATGGAATCGTGTGGCGCTGGATCTCAGAGCTGAGTGAAACTGTAGAACCCAGACACTGGTTCAGACCTGGTTTTAACATCAGTCTCAGTGATCCCATCCCACGGTCTCAGCTCTGAGCTCAGGTGTGAACACATTAGGACACATGTGACATCTGATCACTCACATCTGACCTCATTACTTTATCAGTGTGAACGTGTCCCGGGAGCTCACGACCTCTGACCCTGACCATTGGGGGGGTCTACATCTCAAGTTAGTATCAGAAGCCCTGAGTTACAAAGTGGAGGCATGTTTCAAATATGTGGTGCACCAAAAAGATTGTGTTGATTGCATTCTGGGAAAAGTAGGTGAAAGGCTGGAGTACCTTTCATGGCCTCTGCGGCCTGGATGAGCTCGGTGACGGAGCCTGCCACCCTCTTTGAGTAGTTGGACAACTGCTGCTTCAGGTCGTGAGACGGCTTCTGGATGATCTGAGGACAAAGACACAAGCTTGAATTGAACCTGTTTTTATTTTACGCTTCGCGTCACTGACGCTCAACACGTGCACTTCACTTCTTCAAATCCCAGCCTGTGCTAATGCTAAGCTAATGCTAAGATGATATAGGCTGCAGATTTTAATTTTCCAGTCAGAAAACGTAAATCTGTTTATTCTCATAAGTGAATGAAGTTGATTAGATCTGAAGTGTTTCAGCCGGCGTCCTCAGACTGTCCTCGGTGGACGTGCAGTATTCAGGTTGGAGCAGAGGGCGACAGGTGCAGGGACTTAACAGGCTCAAGTTTATTCAGATGTGTTGTCATGAGGAGAAAGGGGCGAGGACGTAACGGCCCGGGAACGCACGAAGCAGCCAAACACAAAACATCCACATACCGCACAGCAACAAAACTGGTACACACGTTCAGGGGACGCTCGTGCACAGTGTCGCCCGTATGTGGCCTGTTTCCTGTCACACAAACTACTCACAACATGAATCTGTGTCTGTGACTTCAAGAACAACCAAAGTGTCAGTGAGCAACATGGAGCTGAAACAGAATGAAAATGTATCACGCTGACAGTTTTCAGTATTATCACCGTTTTGTTGTAAATGTTCAAAAGTGACTGAAACACAAACTATAGTTTTATATCTAATAACTTCTGGATTGACATCGTATATATTTTCATTATTTATAAAAGGTCAACAACTTGAGTTAAGTGCAGACGTCGAGCCCACATGTGGATGTTAGCATTTGTTAGCTCTGACCAGATTCTAACAGTTCTGCTTCCTCCATGTTTTTGTTACACACAACAAATACTACGCCTGCGTCTGAGAGACTTGCTGACTTTGGTCGATGGAGGAAAGAATCAAACAAATCATCCCAGTGCAGATTTCTCCTCGAGGAAACACTGCACCCCCCCAAGTTAATAAGAAAATCAACAGTGATGTGCTCTCCGTATCAGTGCACTCGGGCTTATGTGGTGAAACCGTGGATTATATCCTTCACTGTATCAGAGTGGCCCTGGAGGAATCAAACTGAGAGGTCGACACAACAAAACACAACGCACACGTGATCTGATCCTCTCACACAGCAGTGATCAGATCAGCTGAGAGTGAGTCCGCACAGTCGAGTCTCACTTCAGTCCCAACGTACGGAGAATCCTGCAGAGTCTTTACTGCTGCCTTATTCTGAAGAGGTCGTCGTAGCGCCTCCTTCCTGTCAGAACGAGCAGCTGACGGCACTCTGCAGGATTGTTGTTGTATAAAATATTCAACCAGTGCATCAAACTCTGGTGCAGGTCGGTCATGCAGGTACTCACCGGCTTGCACCGACATCAGTGAGCCACAAGTTTAAAAGAACATTGACGGAGCGTTGGGGAAGGAAAGAGAAGAGGTCGTCAATCACATGACAGCAGACACATGGAGACAGGTTTGTGAGCGTGCAGCCGCCATGATGTGTCCACACTGCTCGAGCACCAGTTGATTTAAGGAGGAGAAGTTGTAAGAGGACATTTTAAAGGCTTTAGGGACACAGACGTCCTGCGATCACGTACGAACACGTTCATCCCTCAGTGACAGAAAAGATTCAAGAGCTAGAGTTTCTGTCCAGACGCAGTTTTCAAACTCAAGTGACGTCTTACCACCAGCACGTGCTCCAGAAGTCCCAGGTATCCAGTGGCGCACTCGTTGCCGTAGCGCAGCGCTCTCATCTGGACGTCTTTGCTGACGTCTGGGTGGTACGCAGCTTCCTGAGAGCAAACACACAGAGGTCAACATCTGGACGGAACAGAGTTTTCATGCTTTCTGTGAAAAAGTGTTTTAAAAGAAAAACAACATGAGGCGCTGAGAGCTGCAAACTTAACGTTACCAACCCGGCGGATGTTTGAAACATTATTCAAATGTTCCAAAGATGAGAGAGAGGTTTATCTATAAACTTTACAATATTGTAGATGTATAATAATATAATAATACTGTTGACGTGAGATATTTTAGTATCTGTGTTCATATATGAAAAAAGTACGGAGAATCATTTTGACCTTGCAGGAGTGCAGCATGTCAGCGATGGCCCTCCTGCTGAGGTTCGCCGTGGCGATGATGTCTTCCTGACGACACGAGTTCCCGGCAGCCACCGCCTTCGCTGTTGCCATGGTGATTCCTTTGGTCATGCGGATGAACTCCTCGGGCGTGGTGGTCTTTGGCGGCGGGTCGGAGCTGCTGAACACCTGCAGGGTAAAGCCTGTTAGATGATGCACGACAGAAACATCAGCATTAATCACACGTCATTTACTCACAGTCAGTTCCTGTTTGATGTGTTCGATCGTTGACTCCAGAGCCCTCGTCCCCTTCGTGGCCTCGTCCTCCACGGCCTTCACCGTCTTCAGGAGCGACGTCACATTGGTCACCATCACCTACAGCAACAGGTCAGATCAAGCGACCATAGATTAGACTGACAGAATCCAGCTCGTCTCACAGCGTATAGATTCGATAGATAGAGGTTATTTTTATGGTGACAGTGACGAGCTTCAAAATGAATTGTTTGTGGGCGTGGCCTCGTGTGACTTTAGTCTCGTACCTTTGCAGAGTTCTTGAGCTGCAACATGCTCGGGTCGTCATGAGGTTTTCCTGCAGCAGCTTTGGTGGCGCTGATGAGGTTACCCAACGCTTTGGCCACATCTTTGACTGCATTGATCAGGACCACCTGTAGAGGGCAGCACACACATAAATCAGTCAAGCTCTAATGAAGACAGACAGACAGACAGACAGACACACACACACACACACACACACACAGCTGTGTACCTGTGTCTCTGGGTCCTCAGATCCCAGACTGGCGGCTCCTAGTTTCACTACATCTGCCAGTTTGGTGATGGTGCACACGGAGGACTGGGCGGCCTGGGCCAGTTTCTCCTGACTGGCTCCAGCAC